TACATTTAATAGTCATGCATAATTAGTAATTAAAAATTAATTATCTTAATATTAATAATTCCAATTCAACATATACAACAGGCTATTTTGCATTCTCAGTCAAATTTTTTTCAATTTTTTATCAGTAAATATTTGTATTATTTTTTTTTAATTTAATGTATTTGTTCTTCTCAAATGTAGCATGTAGTACTCCATATATGTGGCAAAGACAAGCAAAACCAGTCACTCGTCGCAAATTGTGTTTCAGAGAAAATAGCAAAAACACGCTAGAATGTAAAATTTTTAAAAATCCATTATATTTCACTAAACTAAGGTTTATGTATCTATACATCATTCTGTGCTATTATTTTTCCCAATTTCAATGTTAAAACAACACTTTTTATTGATTTTATGATAGTTTCTGCATGAGAAATGCCTGAAATCACAAACTTTCAAGGCTGATTTCTCATATATTGTTCTTCAAACAGTTGTACGCTTAAATGCTTGTAACTTCATAAGGAAATGTCGGATTTGAACGGTTTTTTTTACCATTTTATAGCTCTTTTTTTACTCTTTAATATATTAATAACTCAAAATCAATTTTTGCGACAAGTGACTGGTTTGGCTTGTCTTTGCCACATATTATTTTTGAGTTTTTTATGTTATAAATTGAGCCTGCCAAAAAAGCAAATTTGCCTTTTTGGACCAATGAATGTTTACTCTGTAAATTGTAACTAGTATGAATAATGAAATGTAGGTATTATTTGCTCAAATCTTTGAAATCAAGATGCAGTCAGGTTCAAAGTATAATACACACTCCAAGTAATGATAAGAAAAAAAAACAAAAAAACTATTGTATGAGATTTAGTGTTTCGATAAATGTTCTGTCAGGACATAACACAGGTCAAAATAAAAATCAAATGGCGTGTATTGTATTTCTTTATTGCTTTCAGTGTTAATTACCATAATTTCTAACCAGACTGCAGGTTTTAAAATAATTTTGAGGAAGAGTTAGAGATTAGAAACCAATAAATGGTTTTGATGTATGTACAATATTTGAGAGAAGACTGATTTATTGGCAGCATTTACAACATGCCTGTGTAAAACATCACCCAAAATGAACAACATTAGATGAAATCCAAGTTGTCTCCAATATCAATGTTTTGAACAAAAAGTACATTTCAAGATGCTTCCAAACCTTGAATATTTCTTTGATTGTCCTCTTGAATATCTCTTTCATTGCATTCGTCACTGTCTCTTTCCTTTTCCCCTTCATTGTGTTCTTCGTTGTTAGCCTGATTGGGTTTTTTACTTTCTATTTGATTGTCTTCTTGATCATCTATTTGACTGCATTCTTCATTGTCTGTTTGATTGTTCTCTTGATTTTCTTCATCACTACCTGCAAACACACAACATGGGATTTAATGTTTATCACTATAATATTGATAATAAATACTCGACCAAATTATAAATACATTGTGGTTGAGTGGGTTGTACTAATATCCTCTGATTAGCATACTAGAATGTTGTGTTGATATACATAATTTTGAATTTCAAGATATATGATATGCCAATGATAGTCCTTTAATTTCAAGTGCCAATGGTTTGAGCAAGTATGTAAATTTATAAAAATTGTGCAGGTATAAATATTACAGTACTAAATTTCAGTTTCACTACTGAGGTAATTTTGTTCAAGATTTTTGAATTACTAAAAGGTGATTAATGAGTATTGACAGTTTATGCTTTCCCAATTGCTGTATTAGTTTTAGTTTGTCACATATAACAAAATATTAAATATAATAAATTAATGTTTTATTTTTATGGAAACCTTAAAAAATGTTATGCTACATAATACCTTAATAATAAATATCAATTTAAAGTTCTACTATATTAGTTTTTATTATTACTTAAATTATCATTATTGCCAGCAGTTAGTTTAAAAAAAAATTTAAAAAAAACTACAGTAGTACCTGAATATTTACTAACATTAAGAGATTATTCTATAATTTATAAAATTCAACACAGTAATATCAAACTTACTTCCATCCAATGAAATATCAATTTCATCCAAATTCTTTCCCTTGTAGGCACTGACCATTTTTTGTTCCATCATTATTAGCAGTTTAGAAACTTTTGCTAACTGTAGGGTGTTTTCTGGCAACCTGTAAAATTCTCTATGGATTCGAAGATCATGGCCCATATATGAGGCTAGTAAATCCAACTCATTTTCTTGGAGACATAGTATCTGTGACATGATAGCAATATGCTTTCTAAGCTTTGTTGATCTAACAGCATCTGGGTTTTTAGCACCACTTTCTTTTGAGAATTTCCTGTAGCATTCACTCACTCTCATTGGGAATACAGATCCATAAAAAGGCCTACTGAACACATAAGGGTTTTCTTTAGCTATTCCAACAGTACCCCTAGATTCATTAAGTAAGTTAATGGTTGACACCATTTCTTTAGTTAATAGAATAGTAACATTTCTTCCTCTTTTCCCTCTAACTTCTATTCTCAGTAACTTTCGCACCAATGCCTTTTCCACTTCTGTCAAGCTCGTATATACTTCTTCTGGAACATCATCACCCTGCTTGTTATATCCTTTTCTATAATCATCAAGTAATAGCCTTTCAGTCTCACCACTCCGTCTTTTATTAAACAAGGAAACCCGGGTTAATGCTAATTGGCATAAGTCTTGCCACTCATATGGGCAAGTTGGATTTTTTCTAAGTAAGTTCGTCTTCTCAAGTATGGCATTTTGTAGATATTTAGCAAGCTTTGTCAAGTCTTCAGCTAATGGAATCAGGTTTGTTTTGTTTCTACTTCGTGACTGCAATGTGTGATGAGCCAAAAATGTAACCTCATTCCTCCATTCAGACAGTTTGACATCTTTGAAACTCCTAACATTATCTTCAAGTGTTTTGTCTCCCTTTTTTATTGCTTCAGAACTTAGATGTGCTACTATTTTGTCTATCTCGAAACCAATGTTTCTTGCATAAGAAGGTACCTTGTAGCTGTTTGTTTCTTCAGAATACTGTGCAACGCTCTTTACGGCAGCAACAACTGTGTCAAACTTGTTTGGATTGATGCAATCTCTTATTCTTGTTATTGAGGGATCAGCGACAGAAACAGCTAAAACCAATTTAGCCAAATCCCGCATTTTTTGAGATACTAAGAGCGCTTGGTGCTCTTCAGGATGATTTTTAATCATCTTTGATCCATATGCTAGGATATCATCATCCTTTCTAACTCCTGCTGATATACTGTCAAAGTTCATCCGGGATAAAACTTTTGTCTTTAGTAAATCTGAAATTTCTCCAGAATTTCTGCAGGGAATCATCATGTTTGCCGATGACTGTACTCTTCTATGTTTTTCTCTTCCATGCCTCTGTGAACAGGATTTTTGGTGTTTTAATAGTCCACCTTTTTTGAAGCTGCCACTGCAAAATTCGCATGGTAAGTATTCTGTGGCCTCCTCGTTGTATCTTGGTCTCTTTCGTGGAACGATTTTGCCTTGACCACTTTCCCAAACTATAAAATTGTTTTTAAGATTACCCCTGTTTCGAAGGAATGCTATCTTTTCCCGCTTTAATTTAGATAACTTAGGAAGACTCTCAATTTCATTTATTAATATTTCATGTTTATGCCAAATGGACCAGTGGCGTGATATTTTGAAATCAGCCTTTCCACAAAAATAACAAAAGTCTTTCTTTGACCAAATCCTTTTGCCATCATTATTTCTACGTGCCAGTTGAACTTCATTATATTTTTGTTTCTTGTGTTTTTTATGTTTCTTGTGTTTACTATGTTTTTGTTTTTTGTGCTTCTCATTTTTGTTGCATTTAGTAGCAGATACACCACACCTAAGATAGACTTTATCTTCATCTCTTTTCATATTGATGACTGACTGATGTTCATAAGCTTTTTGTTTCTTGTGTTTCTTACTGCAGCCACTAACATATCCTGCACCAACATCATCCTCATTCCTTAGTTCTATAATTGCCTCTCTCTTGTTTTTCTTATGCTTTCTGTGTTTCTTATCCTTTTGTTTTTTATGTTTTGTTTGCTTGTCATGTTTCTTCTTGTACTTAGATCCATCTTTTTTAATTTTTACTATTACTGAGCTTACACTGGACTCTGATGAAATTTCTACTCCTGGACTATATATGCTACCACTAGAAATAGTATAATGTTCACTTTCATCATTTGAGAAATTTATATCTACTTGTTGCAGTTGCACTTCATTTATTTTTTGCTTTTTGTGTCCCTTATGTTGCTCAACTTCATTCTTGCGTTTACTTTCTGTCATTTGCATTTCAGAGCTTACACACTGACTTTCCGTATCTGGAATATATTTGCCTACAGGGCTTACACTGGACTCGGATGATATTTTTGATTCTGGAATGTTCATGCTAGCAGTAGAATGATTTTCATCTTCTTCATTCGAGAGATTTATATCTACTTGTTGCAGTTGCACTTCATATATTTTTTTCTTTTTGTGTCCCTTATGTAGTTCAACTTCATTTTTGCGTTTGCCACTACTTTTTGTCATTTGCATTTCAGCGCTTACACATTGACTTCCCGTATCTGGAATATATTTGCCTACAGGGCTTACACTGGACTCGGATGATATTTTTGATTCTGGAATGTTCATGCTAGCAGTAGAAAAATTTTCATCTTTTTCATTCGAAAGATTCTTATCATCTACTTGTTGCACTTCATACATTTTTTGTTTTTTGTGTTCTGTATGATGCTCATCGTTGTTTTGGCATTTAACACTATTTTTTGTCACCTGCATTATGGGGCTTACAAACTCACTTCCCGTATCTGGAACGTTGTTAATGCCAGGATGGATTTCATTATTGTCTTCCTCATTATCAAGATCTATGTATTCATTTATCCCAGACAAATCATAAATTTCAATTGGCTGTATACAGTAAGCTGATATACTGTCCAGGACCCATTCAAGTGATATTACTGGTATTTTGTATTGTTCATAGAGGCCTACATAAAAAAAAAAAACAAAAAAAAAAACATTACTTAAGCGAGTAAAACGACCCAGCAGTTTGACAAGTGCACATTAACCACAGCCAAAATATTGGCATGTTATGCAACATGCCTTTTTAGATAAAAAATATGAAACATTGTCCCCATGTTCAAACTCTATTATTAATAATAATAATAATAATAACTTCATTTAATAAAGCGCAAAAAAAAAGTGTGGGGGTGGGGGATTCAGTCTCTATAGCAGACTTTAAAAAGATGCCTGTGGGCTAGATATGGGACTCTTAGGAATAAGACAGATGAGTGCATAGAGACCAAAAGTAATATAGTATATGCCATTGATTAACCGATTTAAACTTTTAAAATTTATTACATATTTTTAATGTTTATATATAGCTATAAAATAATATAAAATCTTACCTTTGTAATATTCTCTATCTGAATATTCTTGGACTATAATGTAGAGTAACTGACCACTTAATGGGGAAACTAGTGTTGGATTTACAACTGTTGTTGCACCACAAAGTTCAACCAACAGTTTAAGTTCATCTGTAGGGAAAAATAGATACTGCATAGAGAGTTCATAGTACCATTGTCAAACAGTTCTTAGTCTATATTGCAGTTAAATCACTATGAATGAAATTTGTGCATACTGTAGTCACTTGCCTACTTCTTTTTGCAGTTAAAAATTACAAGCATGTCTTTACATTTAGTAACAGAGAACTATCAAGTTGTAATAAAAAAAATTGTAAAACCAAGAATTCCCACTTTGAATGACGTCATTTAGATTGCAATATTCAGCTATTTGGTGGACCTTAGTTAATGCTTATGTACATAAATCGAGAGTCAAACAATCAAAAACGTTGTATGTACATGTGATCCACATCTAGTGAGATTTTGGTTTGTGCTTGATTAGCCAATAGGCTTCTTGAATTCATTAGGCCGACCAGCCCTCCTTAAACTAACGTTAGAATACCGCACTTTCGGCGGTAAAGAACAATTAAAACCTCATAAAAAAGGCAACTAATCCATTTACCCATAATTGAATCCAAGGACACCAGTGTTAAACATTCAGCACTTATCCTTGATAATGTGTTAATCCAATTAAAATAGTGAGAGAACGTAACGTTAGTTTATCGAGGGAGGGTGAGCTAATGTGTGCAGGCAACTAAGCTAATCGTAAGCATTTCTTGGCACCTCAGTTTTGAGGTGTTACAAGCCACAATACCCACCATGTTCCCAGGTCCATGAAACCCAAGATAAATTACATGGGTACAGAATGTCATGGGTATGAAACTCTTTAGGTGCATTAATTGAATTAATGCAATTCAGTAACTAAGACATATTTCACTGACTGGAACTCAGTCTATACCAAATGCAGTAAACATCCAAGTGGCAACATACATTATGCTATGTTGCACTGTGCAGTAGTTCAAATAATGAAAAATTTTCTAATGCAAAAAATGAAAAGGTAGCAATTTTTGTTTTCTCTTCTATCTAATTAAGTTTCTCTTACTGTAGGTCTGAAATTCCAAAAATTATATTAATAAACATTTATGTATTTGGATAGCTACATTTACATAATAAAAAACATCTTCAAAAAATAAAAATATCAGTTTGAGATGATTTTAACTGAAATTAGCAATATACAAACAATAATTGAACTTATTTAGCAATATACAAACATTAATTGAACTGATTCTGAAAAGTACCTTTTTTTAATCCTGTATATTCCCCCACAGGGCATATTTTATATTTGTGCATCAGTAATTCCTTTTTCCACATTCTTGCTCTTTTGGGGCCATTGTGATTTTCACCATTGATGTCGTCGCCTACTACTTCATAAGCTTCCTCTGGCAAAAAGTACCCAGTCTTCAAACAAGCTGTTACCCCTGTAAAATGAGTAAAATTGCTTGATATTGCTTTGGTGAAAAAATGATTAAAAAAGATTAAGTATATCAGTATTTAATAAGATTTTCATTGGCTTTCAAATTATTTTAAACTGTTTCTTTTATTTCCATAATTTTTATGTTGGTATTTTTGTGCAGTGAAAATGGATTTAAAAAAATTAAGCAATTTTTATCTGTATTTTATAATATATCAAACATAATTTAACAAGTATTTAAAATAATTCAGCAACAAGCAACTTTAGACTGGTTCTATAGACTGGTCGTTAAAATGTTTGCCTTTCAAAGCAAAGTTATTAAGTTCAATCAATCAAGATTACATTAAGGTTTTCTTCTAGCAACTGAAGACAGCGCCAGTAGTAAAGCGTCATAATGAAACTTAGTGTACAAGTCTTGGCATATTTCTCATCCTGTGAATGCTGTTGTGTGTCAAACTAAAAAAACAAAAAAAAATCAAAAGTGCAAAAACAAAAAAATAAGAATATGCAATGATCTTTCCCAACAAAAATACTGTACATACATGAATATGAAACGATCCAGATTCTGGCTGATATCCCCTGAAAGTACTTAAGAGTTCTTGTACATACAAGGTCAGCGTCTGAAAAAAGGGAAAAAAAAACTTACTCAAATATAATTTGTTCAAAGTTGACAGGCAGATTCCAGACTCAATTCAATAAATCAAAACAATTTTACAAACCCATTAATATTGGCAAACTTATTATATAAAAATATTGCATCAACAATCATTTGTAGCTGCTGTCAGTATGCAACTACAGCTGAAGTTGAATTATGCAAATTGCTGAAAACGTATTTGTGATGATATCTATGCTATACTAGTTACAGCAATTATTATACTAATTAATAAAAAAGTATGTACACCCACTGAATACACCTATATTATCTCAGTATTTAAGATGTATAACATCAATAGCAATAATAACTTCTTGCAGTACAGAAGATGCTGGGAAGTTCAGATGTTAAGAAATCCATGTGGTGCACTTAAAAGCAGAAAATGCATTGTTACATTGAAATGCAAAACTTCTAACTACTAAACATCAATAACAATTTATAAACTTGACACACACATACTGTATGCAGCAGCTGGATTAAAATTGGTTTCACAGAATATGTGGCAAAGACAAGCCAAACCAGTCACTCGTCGCAAAAATGGATTTTGAGTTATTAATACAGTGTTAAAGAGTAAAATAATAGCTATAAAATGGTAAAAAAATCATTCAAATAGGACATTTCCTTATGAAGTTCCAAGCGTTTAACCACACAGCTGTTTAAAGAACAATACATGAGAAATCAGCCTTGAAAGTTTATGATTTCAGGCATTTCTCATGCAGAAACTATCTTTAAATCCTTAAAAAGTGTTGTTTTAACATTGAAAATGGGGAAAATAACAGCATAGAATGATGTGTAGATATATAAAGGTTAGTTTAGTGCAATAAAATAAATTTTTAAAAATTTGACATTCCAGCATGTTTTGGCCATTTTCTCTGAAACACGATTTGCGACGAGTGACTGGTTTGGCTTGTCTTTGCCACATATATTAAAATTATAAAAGTTTATTTCAGAGATGATGTTTTCTGAATTACCTGTCTTAATAATAACATGTGTCGTTCTATTTGCAATGAACGTTCCAGTGAATTCTCCTTCGCTTAATCTTGCCAGTCTTTTAACTTCACTCTGAAAATAATTTAAAAAAAAACACTGAAAACATCACAACGTAATATGAAATAAAGATGCCATTACTGTCAGATTGGCAATGTGGGAGTAGCAATTTGGAAGACAGTTTCAATATGAACAGTGGGTGTTATTGTTTCTTTTAATAATGTTGTTAATATTTTATTATTATTATTTTACTATTACTTTACTATTATTATTATTATTATTATTATTATTATTATTATTATTATTATTATTTTTATTATTATTATTATTATAGTAAATTTTATTGTTAATGTATTACTCTTTCATCTTTATTTTTGCACTTACTAGTTCTTTTTTACTCAAATGTGAACCAACAAATGACAGATAGCCACGACCAAAATTCTCTTGCTGACCTAAAAAATAAGTTATATATGTGCATAACATAACAAAGTGTGTTGCTTTTTTTTAAAAATCCACTTGACATCATTACACTCATTTAAATTACCAATGATTTGAACAAGTCAGCAAATGTTGCCAGATATGACTAGAAAATATGACGGAAAAAGTAGTATCACAATCATTCCAGAGACAATTAAAATTTCCACCACCTCAACACAAAAGATTTGTTGCTAGACAATCGATTTTAACTAAAACATGGTATATAGACCAGCCCTAATATTACCAATAATTTCAAATATTAACCATTGAAGAATACTCTACTAAAAAATATATAATAATTAAACTTGCGAAATGCCATATATTCATTAGAGAAATACAGTATAAATACTTGTATATTTTTACAAAAATGCATTAAGCAAGCTTGGTTAAACATGTGTATAAGGTCAGTAAATGTAAATCATGGTGTATTGCCTTTGTAAAAAGAAAAAAAAAATCAGTGTATAATTTGACTTCTTAAGAGATGCACCCTGTCAATACTGATTCAGCTCTAGAAGGCCACTATTGGGTATTAAAAAAGAATATTTTAATGTAAAGAGTCACTAATGGACAATAACCTTTTCAGGCTACACACTGCCTAAAATTTAATTTTAAAAAGGCACACAAACCTTTAATAGCTTTGTTACTTTCTTCTTGATTGTCTTCTTGATTGTTATATTCAATGTCATTTTTACTATTTTGAATGACTTGGTCTTCTAAAATTTTCTTTTCAATGTCTTCACTCTTTTTTTTATTTACTATTTGATTTTCCTCTTGATTGTACTGCTGACTGTCCTTTAGACTGTCCTCTTGATTGTACTCTTGACTGTCCTTTTGATTGTCCTCTTGCTCTTGACTGTCCTCTTGATTGTCTTTTTGACTGTCCTTCTGATTGTCCTCTTGACATTCCTTTTGATTTTCCACTCGACTGTTCTCTTGACCAATATTTTGATTGTGGTTTTGATTGTACCCTTGTCTATCATTTTTATTGTCCTCTTGGTTGTCCTCTTGACTGTCTTTTCGATTGTCGTATTGACTGTCCTCTTCATTGTCCTCTTGACTGTAATTATTTTGATTGTACTCTTGATTGTATTCTTGGCTCTCCTTTAGATTTTCCTCTTGATTGCACTCATGACTGTCCTTTAGATTGTCCTCTTGAATGTCCATTTGACTGTCCTCTTGACTGTACTCTTGACTGTTATTTAGATCTTTTGGACTGTAATCTTGACTGTCCTCTTCATTGTGCTCTTGACTGTAATTATTTTGATTGTACTCTTGATTGTATTCTTGGCTCTCCTTTAGATTTTCCTCTTGATTGCACTCATGACTGTCCTTTAGATTGTCCTCTTGAATGTCCATTTGACTGTCCTCTTGACTGTACTCTTGACTGTTATTTAGATCTTTTGGACTGTAATCTTGACTGTCCTCTTCATTGTGCTCTTGACTCTCATTTTGATTGTACTCTTGATTGTATTCTTGACTCTCCTTTAGATTGTCCTCTTGATTGTACTCTTTACTGTCTTTTTGATTGTCCTCTTGAATGTACTCTTGGTTGTCTTTCTGATTATTTTCTTTAAATTCTTTCTGATTGTTCTCTAGATCATTCTTCTGATTGTCTTCTTGATAGTCATTTTGATTTTTCTCAGGATTTTCCTTCTTACTGTCTTCTTGATTGTCCTTTTGATTCTCCTCTTGTTTGACCTTTTGATTGTCTTCTTGATTGTCTATTTCATTACCTGCAATACACAACACTGGATTTAAAATTGTTCATTATTAATATAACAAAAACACTGTTAATCACAAATACCTGCAATGCATTACAGTATGTGGTTAAGTGTGTTGCAATTAACACCACATACTCTACAAGAGTGACATGGTAATAGATATAAATTTCATATCCAAGATATATAATACTCCAATGACAGCTTAGATTTACACTGCTATTAGTTTGAAAAAGTAGGAAATGAGTAAGTAAAAATGTAAAAATATACAGTGCCTCTTTTTCTAACTGTTAAGCCATGAGTCTGAACAAAGCCTTAGTCGCTTGACTTCACATACCACATGAATCGAACCATGGAGGCTATAGCCAAATATTAATTAAGTGAATTAATCTCTCATTGTATCAGTCCACTTTGGAATAAGCACAATTTACAGTATATGTACAGTATATACTAAACATAAAACAGAGAGTAACATATGAAACTTCAGCAACAGTAGCCGAAATACAATAATGTACAGTAAATTACTGCCACTCTATGTATTAAAAAAATAAAAAGCATAGACATGATGGCTATAATATTATTGATGGTGACGGTACACTTACTCAGTTTAAGTCCCCATTCAATGTCTGCAATGAAGCACTTAAGTGTGGCAGGTTTCCGTTTTAAAGATTCTAGAAAAAAAATATTTTAATATACTAAGGTACAGCAAGATTTGTTAAATTAGAAAAACCTTGCAGTGCATATAAACAGTGTATGGTTGAGTAGGTTATGTTAATATAAACAGATAAAAAAAAATGATTTTCAATTTATGGTTGTATCATGATTCACAATGGACCTTAAGACAGACCATGAATATGTGTTGTAAATATGCAATTTTTAAATACAGTAATTTACAAATATGTAAAAGTAGAAAAGTATGTAAACAAAACAAGTGATTATTAACAACTAATAAATACGTTATATACTGTACATCAGGGTCATGCATTTGGAAATCAGCATGCACAAAAAAATACTTTTGTTGTGGTTTCCAAAAATCATTTTGTTCAAATAATGATCTCTTGGCCAAACAGAAAGGTTTGTTATAAAATTTGTCTCAATTAATAGCTAAATACAGGCTATGGCATTTTAAATGGCAACAATATGCTTCATAGAATTTGGAAAAAAAAAGAGGTTGAGAGGGGGGGGGGGGGAAGGAAAAAATTATTTATTGTAAACTTGCACATCTTTGCTCCTGCAGGGGTACAGACTTGATCTTAGTGTTATTTTACCAGTAAATAATAACATCTGGTCATTCCGTGCCAACCAACAAATTTTCAGAAAATCATGGCTGGGTACCATCTCAGATTTTCTTGAAATTCGGATACAATGTGCACCAATATGTCTGACGAACAAACCCAAAATTTAACTTGCTAATTCCAAGTTGTTTAAAAGTTATGGCCATTTGAAATTTTAGGGTCATACCCCTTTTTAGCTCTCAATTATGACATATTTGTAAAGTTGCATTTTCAATTAGCCATATCTTCAAATAGAATAAAGTATAGTTCACTGAAAATTGATATTTAGACTAACTTTTTGCTGTAGAACAGGAATATGACATGACTTTTGGTATACCGGATCCTGTTACAAAAATATTGGTTCGTAAAGACCCTAACTTATTTGGTTGCGTAATTTTTCTTCCATTGTTAGACCCATTATAATACCCAAATCAGTAATTAAATGGGTCTTATGCAACAAATTATTAATATATAGTTGGAAATGTCTCACCACAAAAAATTCCGGATTTTTCCGTTATCATATTAGGGGGTAATCGTAGGTCAAAATGTCATTTGGAACAAAAAATACACAAAAATGCCTCGTTTTCATGGTGACCTTTGACCCTGTAGGCAAGTACCCTTGTTGTTAAAACTCACACCATGAATTAATTATATATGATGATCAGATGTTCCAAATATCAGTTTGGTGTCTTTATCCCTTCATGTTTAAAAAGCGATTTGCAAAGGGGTATATTTTTCAATTTGTGAAAATATCAGTGCGTAAATGTGACAACATTAATTTTTGAATAACGATAAAATTAAAAATAATTTGCCTAGACCCATGAAACTTATAATTCTAAAACAACTTTATGTGCTTATTAAACGAGGCATTTTTGTGTATTTTTTGTCCCGAATGACTTTTTGACCTACGATTACACCCTGAAATGATTACTGAAAAATCCGGAATTTTTTGTGGTGAAACATTTCCAACTATATATTAATAATTTGTTGCATAAGACCCATTTAATAACTGATTTGGGTATTTTAATAGAGTCTAAAAATGGAAGAAAAATTACGCAACCAAATAAGTTAGGGTATTTACGAACCAAAATTTTTCTAACGGGGTCCGGTATACGAAAAGTCATGTCATATTCCTGTTCTACAGCCAAAAGTTAGTCTAGATATCAATTTTCAGTTAATTATCTTTATTCTATTTGAAGATATGGCTAATTGAAAATGCAACTTTACAAATATGTCATAATTGAGAGCTAAAAAGTGATATGACCCTAAAATTTCAAATGGCCATAACTTTTAAACGACTTGGAATTGGCAAGTTAAATTTTGGATTTGTTCGTCAGACATGTTGGTGCACATTATATCCGAGTTTCAAGAAAATCTGAGACGGTACCCAGCCATCCCATTTGTTGAGTTGGCACGGAATGATCTATCATTTACTAATTGCATATTTTACTTCTTGTAGGAAGGTTGCGGCTCTTTAAAAAATAGACAAAGTAACACTATGATTGCCGAATTCAAATTGCATGACCTCAGCAAATAACATTGTAAGATGTTGTTAGTTGGAACTTTAACAAACCTTCAATTTCAAAAGCAACAAGATACAAATAATCAATATACAACATTTGAAAAAAAAATTGGCAAAACTTGGAACAGAACTTTTAAAATTATGAAATTTAACATTGCATCAGCTCTGGATTTTAGTTTCAATTACAAATTCATGTCATCAATAACTCACAAAATGTGGGTCCATAATAAAGTACTCTGAATGATTAAGACTATTGCGAGTTTAAAACCAGTATGTAGGCGTAATTTTGAAATAAATTACACTGTTCTTCATAAGGTATGAACTGAAAAGCTTAATATTATTTTATAAGCAATATTGGGTAATGAAAACTGACAATATATAATTATTAAATGTTTAAGTACTTATGCCCTTCTCCTTCCACTGACTAAATTTTGTTTTAAATGGCTGTAAAACCTTGACAGAAAATCTATAAAAAAGAAATCAATTGTTAAATTACAGTTATCTCTCTCTACCCAACTATTCAAATAGTATGATGATATCAATGTACACTTTTAAACCGAATTCAAAGAGCATGGTAATTGCGTTAAGGCCTGTTTGTACTTTGACAATAACAATAAAAAATAAAAGCGAAAATAATCCCAATTATTCTTATAAAAAAATAACTACAAGACATTATCTTACAAGCACTTAAATTCATTATTGATTGATGATGTATACAAAAAAAAAAACTATTTTCACAAATCGAATCACATAATAATTAAGAAAAAAACAATAAAATCCTTATAGTATAATGAATAAGAATATGTACTGTTAATCGTTATCTTTGTACTCATTATTTAATCTAAAATATAGTAGCACTGAGGAATAACATCTACTTTAATTATTGGTACCCCATTTTATATCCTGGCATTGCCTTTGAGTAAAGTTAATTAGGTCATGAAAATATATATTAATTATATTAAGTTCATATTTAAAACTATAGGCCTAATGTAAACATTTTACACGCACATTTTGAATAATTACTTTTAAATAAAACATGTCATCCCTAAATTTAGTTCCAAGTTGAAACTATCATTATGACCATTCCTGTATCACATGACATTTTTTGTGAATTCTGCTCCTTAACCAGATAACTAGTGTATTAATGTTATCTACAATGTAGTGAGGTCTCCAAAATATTTTAAAACAAATTATTCTTTTAAGATTTAGAAAATTTACCACTTTTTCCATGATTCTAGAAAAGTATAACTTATTGACTATGTCATATTAACAATTCCTGTGAGAAATTTAGGCAAAAATCGATTATTTTAAAAATGATTTTCCTTTCATGACCTGTGACATTCAACCTTTAAAAACTGGAAATTGCACATTGCAAGTGAAGTGCTGCGAAGTACAACTGCATATAAATGTTCTTCGAACAAAATTATTTATGCGAGTCAAGTGAAAATAATGAATAATAAAAATATAACAAATAATATGAGACACGACCCATTGTCTATATTAGAACATTTCTCATTGGGTGACAAAGTCGTAATTTTTCATTTTTGTCAAAAAGTGTCTATAGCACTTGGTGAATTATGGTTTAGGTTTTTTTTAATAAAGTTTCAAAAATTTGTATGTATGTGGAAAATGTAGTTGATTACCAAAGGTTACAATTTTTATTTTGAAGACTGCATGGTCTAGGAAGTGTACATTTTTTTATGGGGCAAGTTTCCGAGTCGGGTTTTCTAGGGGCGAGTTGACTGCCAAAGAGTGTTGCCAAAGTGCGAGCCAGCATGTTATTTGATCACAAGTGCGAGACATCACAAGTGTGTGCCAGCGAGCCATGACGTCACGACTGTAGATACGAGACGTTAACTAGTTGTTCGAGGTATCGGCTGAGATTTGTGGAGTACAATTCAAAAAACAACTATAGGTCTAATAATGAATTATTGTGATGTTAAATAGACAATGTTAGCTATCAAGGAGCGACGTTGTTTTTCATTTGGACCTTCGTCCCTTCAAGGCTAGGCCTATACCATCCTAGCTAGTCTAGGCCTAGAGTAGGATTTTTTATTTGGTGAGATGATTTAGTATGGAGTTTTCCAGGTGGCGAATTTTCTGGGGCCGAGTTTGTATAGGCGAGTTGACCGCCATCGCACCACACAACGTAATCATGATCGAGATCATATCAGAAATTGCTTCTACTTACTTCATAACTCTGTCCCTTAAGTATACTAAGCCTATTTACAACAGCAAAATTAGGATCCCCATTTTTTGTTTCTTTCTTTTTTCATAAAATTTAGCAAATTAAAAAAATAGCACTTACTCTGTATCATCTGAAAAACAAAAAACCAATACGGGCAGCTGGTTTGATGATTCGACGGCCTGAACAGGCCACATCATTGATACTGGAAGGCCTGGTAATGTGGCCCAATAAATATTTCCTAGATGAAGTCAAACGTACAGTATTTGTAACAAGTTATTTCATGTTTCAATTGAATATATAATTAAGCACTTGAAGTAATGAAATGAGACTAAACAATCCTATCATAACAGAACACCTTCTAATTTATAATGTTTTAATAATCCAATTTTTTTTTCTATTGTGGCTTTATTTTAATCATTTTTTGGTGTTCAAATTTTTAAAAAAGATACCAAATACACAGTGATGTTTAATTTCAACCTGGTTGAACAAAAAGTCATGGCCCAAACGACCGAACACCATTTTCAAATTTAATGGTTTAATATTTGGATTTGAACAAACTAGCCTAGGTTAGGCCTCATAGGTAGCAGGTCAAAACGGCAATAAACCAAAACGGCAATGACCAAAACGGCAATAGCCAAAACGACAATGAACCGAAACGACAATGACAAGTACCAAAATGGCAACAGACCAAAACGACAATGACAAGTACCAAAATGGCATAGACCAAAATGGCAAAGGAGTGAAAGCAATGCGACTAACAAGCGCCAGAGGGGGTGGGCCGCAGTTTATAATTTTCGGAATCATTTTAAAGTTGTCCTGATAGGCAAATTGAATATTGCCATTGGCTCTTTTTCCCACCTTTAATGTTTATCATTATTTTTATTTTGCATTTTTGAACTTTTATGAGATAAATTGTTTAGCCTCATTTTGTCTTTATTTGAAAGTTTTATTTGTTTAAATGTTTTTTGCTTATATATTCCCCCCCCCCATCTTTCTAATATTGAATTTGTATTGTTATCATTATTATTATTATTATTATTATTATTATTATTGCTGCTACTGCTGTTTAGCCCCGTTTGTTATTTAATCGTATTACACTTTATATTTATAATTAGGCCTAGTTGATTTTTTTCGCGTTTTCAGTTTCGACATAAATTGTCTTTGTTTATTTTGGTCTTGCTGTTTTTACTTCTTGCCGTTTTGACTTACTGCCGTTTTGGTCTATTGCAATGCAGTTCTGGTCAAAAAGTGTTACTTTTGGTTCTCTGTCATTTTGATCATTGCTGTTTTGACTTATAATATTGCCGTTTGGTTTATTGCTGTTTTGTCCAGAAAGGCTAAGAAGCGCCT